TCCTAGTAACAACAATTTTGCACATGCTTTATGAAATAAAAAACACAATTAGTTAATTTTTTTTATCAACTACTACCCTCTCCCTCCAACCAAAACGAGACATTGTTCTCAATATCCTAACATAGAAAGATGGAGTATAGAAGACATCATCTGAAATAACGAACATTGACAAACCTAAAACACACTTAAACAAATATAACAAACAATAAAACACAATAATAAAACCAAAAGACACAAAGATTCACAAATGAAGACTCAAATCCAATCTAAACTTTTTATAGCTTTCCTTAAATGACCAATTTATATGACTCATGGAGGGATCAATTACAGGAATGAAAGATTGGAGTTGGTCAATCAATTATTCAGCAATAGTAGCAGAGATTATGATTTGTCGTGCTAAAGATGTTAGAAATTCATGTTCCACAGCATGATCAAGAAACAACAACAACTTATCATAATAACCATTAACATTTAACAGACTTATGGGTTTATAGTGAATGTGCAATTAGGCCCAAGAGGAGATATGAAAGATCTCTTCCAATGTGCCCAGACCACCTAGTAAGGCAATGAAGACATCAGCATTGTTAAACATTACATTCATTCAAGTAGACATTGCGGAGACGTGTAATTCCTCTCCAATTGTTTTTTTAATGATGTCCCCTTGTGCTAAAGTTTCAGCGAAGACCCGCAAAACTTGACTACCTCCTAAAAATACAGCTATTGACACACCTCCCATTAATCCAAAAGTGCCTCCCTCATGCACTAAATGAATCTTTCTCTAAGTTAGCACTTGACCAAAATGATTTGCTGATTCTAAAAACACCTTTTCTTTCCCAAGACTAGATCCACCCAAAACATAAACATTTCCTATGTGATGACATGAGGAACTTGTCATTTCTACACACTTCTATATTTATTGAATGTATGGGTTGAGTAGAAATAAAGAGAAGGAAAAGAGAATTTTATAGATGAGAAATTAAAAATTCAATCATACCACTTATATATAGGCCAGCTGGAGTCTCGCACTCTCTCTCTTTTTTATTTATTTATTTAATTTTTAAAAAGTATGTGTATATATATGTAGTTGTGATTGTGGCTCACATCCTTCCTTGGTCCAAGAACAACTTAAAACACTCTTTATGAGTCGAGGATAGACTTCCTATCTAGTTTTATTAAAAATTGGCAAACATGGTCTTTTTTTAGTCAGATTTTCAAGACTATGCCAAGCATATTTGTTATGAAAATGGGTTCATAAATCATGAATTGCACAATGCTTATCTCTACTATGATGAGACTTAAGAGTCAATAGAAGATTATCTAAAGACTCTCTGTATTTTGAAATAAATCCCATTTTTTGACAATTTTTATAGGTTTTGCGGAATGGATGTGAGTTCTTGAACATAGTAGGCTAGTAAAATCTATTTTGTAAGATTTGTACATTCCTTTTTTTTTACGAGAAATGATCCCCACGTGCCTTAGAGTGACAAAATTTAATGACAGTACTTATCTCATTGTCAGGAATGCATCTTTGAAGTATTTGATCAGGACAATAATTGAATAAGTAAGGGTCATCCCAATAAAAATTTTACACATCGCTCAAAAATTTTCTTTTGTTTTCGGTACTCTAGTGAGCTGACAAAAATCATAAAGCAAGAAAATTGATATTTTTAGCAAATCAAGGCATTTAACTAAAAGAAAGTAAGGATTCATTAGAAAAGTAATCATCAATTGGTGTAATATCGAATGTTGAATCTATTGTTACTCTTGATAAAAGATCCACATTAATATTTTCAGTGCCTTTTTCATCCTCGATTTGTTTCTGTTTGGTCATGGCATGAGGAAATGGAAGTGTTGGTAGGAAATTAGTCTTTTATTTGCAATGTTCAGATTCAACCCCTTCCTTACCCTCAGATATTGACTCATTATCTTTCTCACAAGGTTTAAGAATTAGTTTTTGAATAACCTTACCACTACAAGGAGTGATGACTGATTTAACTTCATCCATGTGTTGACTTCTATAACTACTTGCATTTGTATTGTATTGCCTTTAGGATTTTGCTGTAGTTGAGATGTAAACTTATCTTTCTCTTAAAAACTAAGAGCAGATATGAATTTTGTAAGAATATCTTTAAAATCTGTTATGATTTGAGCAAGTTATTATTAGTATAACAACTATCATTTTATCATGAGTATTCCCACAATTATTATTAGTATCATAAATACAATAATCATTATCATAATTATTATTAACATTTTCCGTTATAATTATTACTATCATTATCATTATTTTTATAATAAATTTTATAGTTTTTTTCATTTTATTATCATCACTTAAAAAAC